GAAGAAGATGCTGGTACATCTAACAAGCAATCACCAGTAAGTATTTTAGAAGTAAATACATATATTATAATTTTTTCACAATTTTTTTATTAGGTGGACAATAAGAAAAAACGAAAGCTGAAGGAAGAGTGGATAGATTCTGACATAAAATGTTCGGCCGAGAAAAGGAATGCATCTTTTTTTTTTTGCAAATTGTGCAACGTTACGCTTAAAGCGTCCTCAGGAAAAACTGACTTATTAGCCCATGCACAGACAAAGAAACATTTAGCAGCTTCTAATGCTATTTCAGCACAAAAAAAGATAAGCGAAGTTTTCAGTGAAAATAAACATTCTTCAAAAAAGGCTGAAATAAAAATGGCTTTATTTATTGTGGAGCATAATCTGCCATTTATGGTGGCGGATCATTTGGTTAACGTTTGTCAAAGTTCATTTTCCGACTTGGATATTGCCACAAATATGACTTTGGGACGCACGAAAGCTACCGCCATTGTTAAAAATGTAGTCGGAAAGAAACAGTTCTTAACTGTTTGTGAGCTTCTTAGAAATAATAAATTTTCTATATGCGTGGACGAATCCATTGATACGTGTATGTATAGATTTTAAGATAAAAGATTTATTTCTTGGATTGCTAAAAGTTCAGGAGTGCGATGCTAAAGGCTTGCATAAATTGATTATAGACTATTTTGAACAAAATAATATAACCTACAAAGTGAATATGGTGGGCTTTGCTGCTGATGGCGCTTCTGTTATGACTGGCAAAAACAAATCAGTTGCGAAGTTGTTAAAAGATGATATACCCCATTTGTTTGTAATTAAATATGTTTGCCACTCACTTGCATTATGTTCATCTTACGCTTGTTTGCAATTGCCTTCTGAAGTGGAAACCCTGACGAGAAATATTTATAATTACGTATCAAATATCCCGAAAAGATTAGATCAATTTCAATCCATTCAACAATTGTTAGAAATAAAACCAAAGAAATTATTGCATCCAAGTCAAACAAGATGGTTATCTCTTGAAGCAGTAGTGGTAAGAATTTTAAATTTATATGAACCCTTAAAAATTTTTTTTCCTTTGCTGCGAATATTGATCATATTGATACAGCAAAAGATATTTTACAAAATTTAAATGATACAAATGAAATTTCTTTGGCATTTTTGAAATATATTTTAGAAATTATAAATAAAATAAATAAAATTTTTCAAAGCGAATCTGCAGAGATTCATCTATATATATAAAAATGAATGTGTGTTTGTTTGTATGTTTGAACGTTATAGACTACTAAACGGCTGAACCGATCACAGCATATTCCTGCATGTCTGGAATAGGTAATAGGCTACTTTTTATTTCGAAATTTCAAGTGGGCGATGAGCCACGCCCACATTAAGAAAATATAAAATCCCTATATTTTAGATAATATAACAGTTAGAGTCCTCAAATTTTGTCGGAGCCACTTTAGTGTCAATATGATCATTTAGGACAAAAAGTAGGCGGACTAGCATTAGGGGGCGTGGTACCTCCCATATAAATTAAATACAAAAATTCGTTTATCTGGGAAACTAATAGAACTAAATTCTTAAAATTTAGCACGAAGAACTTTAACATCCATATAAACATTTTGGGTAATAAATTGGCGGACTACCCATGAGGGGAGCGGCACCTCCCATATTAATTAAATACAAAAATTCGTTTATCTGGGAAACTAATAGAACTAAATTCTTAAAATTTTGCACAAAGAACTTTAACATCCATATAAACATTTTGGGTAAAAAATTGGGGGACTACCCATGAGGGGAGCGGCACCTCCCATTAATTAAAAACAAAAATTCGTTTATCTGGGAAACTAATAGAACTAAATTCTTAAAATTTTGCACGAAGAACTTTAATATTCATCTGAACATTTTTAAGGAAAAAAGAGCGGACTTTCATCTGGGGGGCTTGGAGCCCCCATATGAATAAAATAGAAAAATTCGTATATCTGAGAAACAATTAGAGCTAGAATCATTAAATTTTACTTGAAGAACTTTGACATTCACCTGAACATTTAGAATATAACGGGCGGACTTCCAATGGGTTACTTGGTACCTCCCATATGAATTAAATACAAAATTTCGTTTAACTGGGAAACTAATAGAACTAGATTCTTCAAATTTTGAACAAATTATTTTAATAATCATCTGAATATTTTGGAGGAAAAAGGGCGGACTTTCATCCGGGGGGCTTGAAGCCCCCACATGAATTAAATTCGTATATCTGAGAAACTATTAGAGCTAGTATCTTAAAATGTTACATGAAGAACTTTGACATTCATGTGAACATTTAGAGAATAACGGGCGGACTTTCAATGGGGGGCTTGGCACCACATATATGAATTAAATACAAAATTTCGTGCATCTTGGAAACTCTTATATTATTCAAATTTTTTGTAGATAGATAGAAATTGGCGATAGATAGAAACTGGCGAACTTGCAATAATTTGCTTGACATCTTTTATATGTAACATATAATAAATCTGGTATTTATTTATACATATTCCTTTTTGGGTAGCAAAGCACACTGGGTATAGCTAGTAATTTATATAATCAAATGTTAAGACTGGTAAAAATTATTTTAAGTAATTTTATAAAACATTCCAATATAAATAATGATGCAATTCATTTAACTGATTTTATGAATAATAATAATTTTTTAGATTACGACCAAGTTTATTTGGGCATTCACGCAAGTGATTTAATTTCAAAAACAAAAATTAATAAATGTGATATTCAAAAAATTAAAAACAACTGTATAAACTTTTATATAGAGATTTTGAATCAAATTTTGAAACCTTTTAATTTTGAAAATAATAATATTAAATCTTTAAATATAATTAATCCTCAAACTATTATGGAAAGAAAATATTCCTCATGTTTGGAAATTTTAAATGAATTTCCAAACATTGTAGACCAATATGAAAAACAAATGTTAGATTCTGAATTTAGGGAATTACATTTTTTGAATTTTAAATAAATTTTTGATGATTTAGAAATAAATTTAACAACATTTTGGAAAACAGTTTGTGGGCTGAAACGTGGCGATAAAACATGTGCTTTTCCATTGTTAACAAAATTTGTTCAACATATTATGATACTACCACATTCTTCTGCGAATGTTGAACGTATTTTTAGTCAAGTCAATCTTAATAAAACTAAATTTCGATGTTCCCTTGCAAATGAAACTTTAGAAGGTATTCTTTATTCTAAAGATTTTTTAAAATATAATAATTCTCATTGCTTTGATATAGATATTAAGAAAGATATTTTAAACTTGACTAACACAAGTATGTATTCTTAAAAAATTTAAAAAAAATTCTTTTTTATCTATATATATAAAAATGAATGTGTGTTGGTTTGTATGTTTATATGTTTGTATGTTTGAACGTTATAGACTACTAAACGGCTGAACCGATTTTATTCAAATTTTCACAGCGTATTTCTGTATGTCTGGAATAGGTAATAGGCTACTTTTTATTATGAAATTCAAAGTGGGCGAGTAGCCACGCCTATATTAAGAATATATTAAATCCGTATATTTTAGATAATACTAGCTATACCCAGTGTGCTTTGCTACCCTAAAAGCAATATAAATAAAAAATCTTCTTAATAATTTTCAAGATTCTAACTGTAATGTTTTCCAGAGATACATTTTTTCCGAACGTTAATTAAGATTTTAATGTAATCGATGACAAATTAAAAAAAAAAAAAAAACTAATATTTTCCCAGATATACGAAATTTTGTATTTAATTCATATAGCGGGTGCCAAGACCGCATTGAAAGTCCGAACATTCTCTAAATGTTCACATTAATGTCAAAGTTCTTCAATTAATATTTGAAGATTGTAGCTCTAATAGTTTCTCAGATATAATAATTTTCCAATTTAATTTATATGGGGGCTCCAAGCTCCCCATGACGAAAGTCCGCTCTTTTTTCTCCAAAATGTTCAGATGAATATTTAAGTTCTTAGTGCAAAATTTGAATAATTTAGTTCTATTAGTTTCCCAGATAAACCAATTTTTGTATTTTATTAATATGGGAGGTGCTGCTCCCCTCATGGGTAGTCCGCCAATTTATTTTCCAAAATGTTTACATGGATGTTAAAGTTACTCGTGGAAATTTTTAATATTCTAACTATAATAGTTTCCGAGATAAACGAATTTTTGTATTTAATTTATATGCGAGGTGCCACGCCCCCTAATGCTAATCCGCCCACTTTTTGTCTTAAATAATTATATTGTTACTAAAGTTGCTCCGACAAAATTTGAAGACTCTAACTATTATATTATCTCAGATATACTAATTTAATAATTTCTTAATATGGGCGTGGCACGTCGCCCACATGAAATTTCAACATAAAAAGTAGCCTATAGTTCCTTCCAGACATACAGGAAGAAACTTTGAAAATTTCAGGAAAATTGGTCCAACAGTTTAGCCGTCTATAAAGCACAAACAAACAAACAAACAAACATACATACATACATACATACATACATACATACATACATACATACATACATACATACATACATACATACATACATACATACATACATACATACATACATACATACATACATACATACATACATACATACATACATACATACATACATACATACATACATACATACATACATACATACATACATACATACATACATACATACATACATACATACATACATACATACATACATACATACATACATACATACATACATACATACATACATACATACATACATACATTTGGTCGGTTACCACAACAAACCCATAATTCGATTAGATTAACTGAATTTTTACGGTAGCAGTAACTAGAATATCTGTAGTAATAATTGAAATATTATATTTATATTTTCTATTGTGAATTATAAAAAGAATTGTCATTTTTATTTCCTTTTCAGTGTAAACAGAAAAATAAAAAAAAAACAGAAATTTTAAAATAAAGTAATAAAATGTACACCTCCATTCTCATCTCCTATATGTGGGATATTCTTAGTGGTTTTCGTGTTGCAAATTTCTTGGCTGAATCAAACATAATCAGATCGATAACCATTAGATTATTTTGGAAGAAGTTTATCCAATAGAAGTCCATCGAAAGAAAACCTACATGTTATAAGTTATTTTTTACATATTGTTATATGTACATATTCGCAATGGTTACCTGTTGTAATTGCAACGATTATGAAATAATGATCGTTATTTGTAATATAATCTTTGATTCTGACTATTCTTGGCTTCCAAATGGTCATTTGAACTGCTGATAGCTATCGAATTAGGGAAAATATAATTAGACATATCATTACCTTGACGTAAATTTACTTAAAAGATACTTACTGACCTTAAACCTTATTTATCGGCCCTATATCCAATCTTTTTACATTTTCCAGGCTAATTTATTTTCTTTTTATTTTGAAATTTTTATGAAACTTTTTCAATATTTTTTTAGAAACTTCAAAAAATACATAACTACTTCATATTTATGGTCGGTTGCGAATACCGAATTTAATTTTAGTATATTAATATATCATAACTGAATTCCTACATTTGTATAATTATTAATTTGGTTGCAGTATCTGAAACATATTTTCTGATTAATATGTTTTAAATACAAATAATTTTTCGATTACATCTACCACTTTTTGAAATTGTTACGAATAATGACGAAAAAATTCGGTGGTATTTACAAAAATATTTAAAATAAATTTTGTAACCGTACAAATCGGTAGACACAACTGACTAAATATTCCAGTATCCTCAATTTGATCGTAACTATAATTTATTAGCATCAATCATAGAAAATTTGTTGTGGTTATAGTTTTTCAATGTTAAGAATACAATTTTAGTTTTCCTTATTAAATATCAGTCATAATTACCGATTTTCAACCATCCTTTTTTCTGTGTGCATATATCTGAGAAACTATTAGAGCTAGATTCTTCAAATTTTACATGGAGAACTTTGAAATTCATGTGAACATTTAGAGCATAACGGGCGGACTTTCAATGGGTGGCTTGGCACAACATATATGAATTAAATACAAAATTTCGTGCATCTTGGAAACTCTTATATTATTCAAATTTTTTATAGATAGATTGAAATTGGCGATAGATAGAAACTGGCGAACTTGCAATAATTTGCTTCACACCTTTCATATGTAACATATAATAAATCTGGTATTTATTCATATATATTCCTTTTAGGGTAGCAAAGCACACTGGGTGTAGCTAGTTAAAAAATAAAAATCTGTTGTTAATTAAAGTATATTTATGTGTATATAAATAAAAATGAAAAATTATTCACAATACTCGTAAATTTATAAAACATAACATTAATATCTTGATTGCTGAATTGAACTCTTTTGTTTTGTTATTATACCCTCCACCACCATCAGTGGTGATAGAGGTATATATAAGTTTGTCATTCCGTGTGTAACACCTAGAAATATTCACCTGAGACCTAACAAAGTATATATATTCTTGATCCTTATGAAATTCTGAGTCGATTTAGCTATGTCCGTCTGTCCGTCTGTCTGTCTGGTTAAAACACGCTCACGTTAAAACTATGCAAAAGAAATCAGCCAAATTCACTAAGAATATTCATTATTGTCATAAGCAGTTTGGCATTGAAAATCAGCAAAATCGGTTCACAACGTAAAAAGTTATAAGTATAAAATTTCAGACTACCTCGAAAAAAATTACGGTTTTTTCATAATTCTTTTGAAGTTTTCTCGGAAACTACCAAAGATATTTCGATGAATTTTGTCACACATTATTTTTTCAATTGTGTTCAAAATCTTTACAATCGATCCAATATTTCCCATAGCCCCCATACAAAGGTATATATTCCCGGAAATTAGTTTATCGTTAATAACTCCCTCAAATATATCGGTATCAACACAAAATTTTGTACATGCAAATATAATATGAACAGAAATCATACTATCAACGCAGATCTCAGTCGGTCCACAATTGGTCATAGCTCTCATATAAGGTCCACTTCCGAAAATCACCTAAACGCACATATTTCTTTGATGAGTAAAGCTATTGTGATAAAAGTCGAGTTAAATATGTTTTGTATACATACAAATCATTCTATCAAATTTTTTACGGATCGGTCCATTATTGGTCATAGCTCCCATATAAGGCCCACTTCCGAAAATCATTTAAAAGCTCATATATCATTGTCAAACAAAGCTATCTTGATAAAATTCGACACAAATATGTTTAGTCTAAATATGAATCACTCTAAGAAATTTTCTGGATAGGCCAATAATTGGTCATAGCTCCCATATAAGGTCCACTTCCGAAAATCACTTAAACGCATATACTTCAATGAATTATAAAGCTATTGGGATAAAATTCGACACAAATATGTTTTGTATACATACAAATCATTTTACAATTTTCTTTACGGATCGGTCCATTATTGGTCATAGCTCCCATATAAGGCCCACTTCCGAAAATCACTTAAACGCATATATTTCATTGAATTCTAAAGCTATCGGGATAAAATTCGACATAAATAGATTTTGTCTAAATATGAATTGCTCTACTAAATTTTTTCCGAATAGGCCCATAATTGGTCATAGCTCCCATATTAGGTCCACTTCCGAAAATTACTTAAACGCATATATTTCATTGAATTCTAAAGTTATCGGGATGAAATTCGACAAAAATATGTTTTGTGTACATTAAAATCATTCCACCAAATTTTTTACGGATCGGTTCATTATTGGTCATAGCTCCCATATAAGGCCCACTTCCGAAAATCACTGAAAAGCACATATTTCATTGTCAAATAAAGCTATCTTGATAAAATTCGACACAAATATGTTTTGTCTTTATATGAGTCACTCTACGAAATTTTTTCCGGATAGGCTCATAATAGGTCATAGCCCCCATATAAGGTCCACTTCCGAAAATCAATTAAACGAATATATTTCATTAAATTCTAAAGCTATAAGGATAAAATTCGACTTGAATATGTAATGTGTACATATAAATCATTCTACCACTTTTTTCCCGGATCGGTCCATTATTGGACTGATCCGGGTCCATTGTTAAATAAAGTTATCTTGATAAAATTCGACACAAATATGTATTGTCTTTATATGAATCACTCTACGAAATTTTTTCCGGATAGGCTCCCATAGAGGGTCCACATATGAAAATCACTTAAACGCATATATTTCTTTGAATAATAAGGCTATCGGGATGAAGTACGACTTGAATATGTTTTGTGAGCATATAAATCATTCTACCAAATTTTTTCCGGATTGATCCATATATTGTAGTAGCTCCTATATAAGGTCCACTTCAAAAAAATCACTTAAACGCACATATTTCATTATCAAATAAAGGTATCTTGATAAAATTCGACACAAATATGTTTTGTGTAAGGTCATAGCTCCTATACATATAAAGTCCACTTCCGAAAATCACCTAAACGCAAATATTTTATTAATTAATAAATCTATTGTTGTAATCATTATACTAAATTTTTTCTTTATCGGTTGATAATTGGTCACAACTCCCATATAAGGTCCATTTCCGAAAATTACTCAAATGCACTTGATAATCAAAGTTATCGGGATAAAATTCGACATAAATGTTTATTTTGTATACATAAATCATTCTACGGATTTTTTTGATTTCATACATGTATAGCAAGTGTTTTTTAATTACCGATAATTTTCCGATTTTTTAAATAGAAATGCCGATAAATGCCGATTTTTTTTTTTGACAAATTTGCCGATTTTCCTTCAAAATTACCTGGCACCCCTGCTCTTACCCTCAAAATAATTGAATAATATTTTACAGTCTTCCATTTGACGTTAAAATACAACATAATTTCACTATTAGAAGCCGATCCGAGCGAAAAGCCTATTTTCGACCCACCCTAATGTACATATCTATACTAAAATGTGCAAATATCTTATTAGATATTTATAATATTTCACAAAATGACATTTTGCAACTAAATATTATATATTAAATATTTTAAAGATTTCCAAACATTTCTAGAAATGGTAAATTTTCGGTTAACCCGAGTTTTCCAAAAGTCGGCTTTTTAAAACACTAAGTACGAGTGTTATATTCGGCAATGCCGAATCTTATATACCCACCATCAATTCGTATGCAGTAAAAGGAATGCTCTCCTATAATCAGAGTGAAATTTGTAATAGGGCTTATGTCAATTATGGACGTGCTCTTACGAATTAACAAATATTAATTTTTAACAAGTGACAGTGTTATATTCGGCTGTGCCGAATCTCATATACCCACCATTGAACCGTATGCCATTAAAGAAATGCTTCCCTATAAACATCAGGGTGATATTACGCATAAAATTAACTGAAGAGGACTCTATATGAGAGAAATTATTGATCGTTTTTTATAAAATTTTTTTTAGACCGATTTTGGTTCATATAAAACATCTTTACATCGAATATCACTTTCCGACACTTTCTGCATGAAATTCGGTAGAAGGATTTACATTCCTATAAATGTTTCTTCTATCAAATTTCATAATTGTTCACATATTTTTAAGTCAGCAATGATCGTTAAAGTAATTTTCTTATGGACTGATCCTCAATAAATTTGGTAAAAAGATTTTAACTCGTATAAAACATATGTGTGTCGAATTTCATCGCTTTTCTCGTATTTCTAAGCCAGTAATGAGCTTTAAAGTTATTCTCTGAAGGGGAGCTTATATGGGGGTCAATCATATGCAGATTTTCATAAAAGTCAGTATGAGGTTCTGGCTCGTAAGAAACTTACTCATGTCTAATTTCATCTCGTACTTTTAAGTCAGCGATGAGTGTTAAATTAATTATATGAAGGAGATCTTATAGGGAGTAAGGTCAATTATGGACCGATCCACATAAATTTGGTTAAGTTATTTTAGTTCGCAAGGAACTTACTTGGGTCGAATTTCATCGCATTACTCGTAATTTTAAGCCAGTAATGATCGTAAAAGTCATTTTTTGAAGGGCACATTATATGGGCGGTAGGGTCAATTTTGGCTCGCATTAAATACATGTGTGTCGAATTCATCGCTATTTTTAAGCCAGTAATGAACGTTATAATCATTTTTTGAAGGGGACCTTATATGGGGGATAGGGTCAATTATGGACTGATCCGCATAAAATTTTGTAGAGAGGTTTTAGATCATAAGAGACTTACTTATGTCGAATTTCATCACTATACTTGTATTTTTAATCCAGTAATAAGCTTAAAAGTCATTTTTTGGTAGGGAGATTTTGGATCATATGAAACTTATTTGTGTTGAATTTCATCGCTATGCTCTTACTTTTAAAACAGTTATGACTGTTAAAACTACTTTTCGTTGGGCTACTTGTATGGCTATGCGAAAAC